CGTTGACACTTCAGGCGCTGGCGTCAACGTGCACATAACGAATAGCGTGCTTATGAGAACAAATAAGCGATCCACGTGTAGTCGATTCGGCAAATTACTAACCAAACACTTAAACAGTTGTTAGTAATAATGATATAATATACAAAATATAGGATATTCCTCTCACAAAACTATTATACTATTAATTATTAAATATTCGTATCAATACATCAGGGGTCAGCGAATTTTATTTCAAATTGGTATCGCATAAAGAAGTGGTAAATAAATAAAATACATTTATGTTATTACTATGTTACAATATATATGGTATTGTGCTAAACAATGCTGAAATTATGTCAAAAAGTAAATGCGGACAGTGACCTTGCATTTCTCTAGAAAGTCCAGCACATAATTAGTAGTTTTTAGTTTAAGACTTGACTCTAAATTTTGATTAGTTTTTTGGCTTCTTTGCTTGTTCTTTTTTAATGGTTCATAGAAGAATTGGCCGCAGGAATATGTTGGCACAAGGATGTCAGCACACCAAAAGCCATTTTTATTTGGTCATAGCGTTCCAGAAGAACTTAGACATCTCTTTAAGAGCTGTCCACTTATGCTACTATCAAAAGACATTTCTGCCTTTCCAGCTCTTCTCAGCTTCTACTTAAGACTCGGATTAAATTCCGAACTCCACGAATCATTGCTTTTTAAATCCAGTAATTGCATTTTCGATTAACCAGCATTAATATTAAATGGATTAAAATTTAGTTCTTTCACAGTATTCGCAATGAATGCCAAGGTAGGGTTACTAGGGTCAATTGAAAAGTCCCCGGCCTGACACATAGATGGCGGCACCAGAACTAAATCCATATGATTTTCAGTTAGTCCTAACCTTCAAAAGACGCGTCTATAAATTTGACGGCTGTCGGATCATTAGTTTGTGAATTATAGCATTTTTAGTGAAGCAACTTTTGTTATTGTGAAAAAAATGGATAAAAAGGAATTTCGCGTGTTGATAAAATATTGCTTTTTGAAGGGAAAAAATACAGTTGAAGCAAAAACTTGGCTTGATAACGAATTTCCGGACACTGCCCCAGGAAAATCAACCATCAAGGATTGGTATGCTAAGTTTAGACGTGGTGAAATGAGCACCGAAGACGGTGAACGCAGTGGACGCCCAAAAGAGGCTGTTACGGACGAAAACATTAAAAAAATCCACAAAATGATTTTGAATGACCGTAAATTGAAATTGAATGAAATAGCAGACACTCTACAGATATCAACGGAACGTATACATCACATCATTCACGAATATTTGGGTATGAGAAAGCTCTGTGCAAAGTGGGTGCCGCGCGAGCTCACTTTTGACCAAAAACAACGACGAGTTGATGATTCAGAGCAGTGTTTGAAGATGATCACGCGTAATAAACCCGAGTTTTTGCGTCGATATGTGACAATGGATGAAACATGGCTCCATCATTTCACTCCGAAGTCCAATCGACAGTCATCGGAGTGGACTGCACACGATGAACCCGCTCCAAAGCGTGCAAAAACGCAACAGTCGGCTGGCAAGGTTATGGCGTCTGTATTTTGGGATGCGCGTGGAATAATTTTCATTGACTACCTTGAAAAAGGAAGGACCATCAACAGCGACTATTACATAGCGTTATTGGACCGTTTGAAGGACGAAATCGCCGAGAAACGACCGCATTTGCAGAAAAAGAAAGTCCTGCTTCACCAAGACAATGCACCGTCTCACAAGTCAGTGAAAACGATGGCAAAAATTCATGAATTGGGCTTCGAATTGCTTCCGCATCCACCGTATTCTCCAGATCTGGCCCCCAGCGACTACTTCCTGTTCTCAGATCTCAAAAGAATGCTCGTTGAGAAAAAATTTTCGTCGAATGAAGAGGTGATCGCCGAAACTGGGGCCTATTTTGAAGCAAAGGACAAATCGTACTACAAAAATGGTATCGAAAAGTTGGAGGATCTCTATAATCAGTGTATCACCCTTGAAGGGAATTATGTTGAATAAAAAAAACGAATTTTGCAAAAACAATGTGTTTTACTATTTTAGGCCGGGGACTTTTCAATTGACCTGTTATTTATTTTAAACAGATCAAATCATTCAGCAAAGACATGCGTCACTATTTTGATCGTTCTTGTGAAGTACCTATCAGTGTCAATAGAAGAACTGTTTCCATCCCGATGA